GCGGTGGCTGAGTGAGAATGGGTGGGTGGATGACAGAGCGACAGAGTAGGAAGAAGGGCAAGTAATCAGCTCTGATAAGATTCTAGAATATCATATTTTCCAACCTTTTAACTCTTGTTGTGGCTTTCCTTTGAACATTCTCCAAGTCTCATATCTCCCTTCTCTTTGTCTAGCAATCTTTAGTTCTCTCTGTCTCAGCCTCTTTGTGTGTGTGTGTGTATGTGTGTGTGTGTGTGTGTGTTTTACTTTCCCATAACAAAAAGCTTACTCTAGTGCCAGGTCATATTTTATAACAACAAGATCCCTGATATGTAAATGTAACTGCATTTAAGAATTATCTGTAGTAATGAATTTGTGGAAATGTAATGAGAAAAAGAAAATGTGCTTGTTTATTCCTTTCAGGAAATTCCTCTATTCCCCCCTGGTTTTCATCAGCTATATTTTTGGCAGGCTGTGGGCATGGAGATGTGAAGACATCAGTCTCGAAGAGAATTATAATAATCGCATCTGATTTATACAGATGTCACCATAGGGTTAGGCAGTTGGAAAATCCAGCAATTCAAATGAATAGGCACTTAGAATTAAGGACATGCCATACTTTTGCTAACACTATGGCTTTGAACATTATCAGTGGTGCATAGGAGATTCTCTTCAGACTTCTAAAGTAGTCATAATGGCAAGACAGATTTCCACCTTACAAGATGAGATCTAAAGCAAGCTAGAGACATACTTCCTGCAGATCCAGTATAAAGATTTAATTCATTTGGATTTCTTGAGCATATACTTACCATGTGTGCAAGACAGTAGAAAGAATACTGAGGAAATAAAAGGCATTGTGCCTGGCCCCAAGGAAGGTACGGTACCACTGGGGTGTGTTGGAGTGGCCTTGCAGGGGTTCAATTGAGAACTATAGAGTAGGTGGGATTCCTCAGGAGGTCAAGAGAAGAGCATGAGTCAATGTTAAGATTTAAACCAGAGAATGAGTGTTATGTCTAGCAAACTGTTAGGAGACTAGTCTGGGTAGATGAAGGTAGCATGTCTGAGAGTGGTAGCAGGGAAAGATAGATGGGCAGCACAGAAACCAAATGGTACAAGACTTCAGATAACCAGTTGAGATCTGTCATCAATACAGAGCCATTGAAACCTGACCTCTTTTTATAAAGCCAACACTTGTTAATGCAATAATATCAATCTTTTCTAAGGGGAGAAACTCATGACAATGAAAACTGTAATATGTGAAGCATTTTTATAGATACAGGGCACATATCACGAGCTGAGATTATATATTGGGCCTAGTAAATGAAAAGAAGTAATGGAGAAAATAATTACTCTGATAGGCCCTACTATTGTAATAACTGCCACAAACAAAATTATTCTTTGAAATTGAAGAATTTAATTGAACCACTAGTAAGAAGCCTTCTGAAGGACAAGTAGTTAGAATGGACAGCTAAATAAGGATAATAAACCAGAGTTAAGTATCCCAAACCCTCTAATCCATTTTGAGTACATGTTAAGAAAACAGGGTGGCCTCTGGTTATTCTGACTTTTCATCTTATAATGTAACAGTTTGTTTATTCTTTATCAAACAAATAACTACTAGAGACCACTAATTCAACTCGGGGAGGTTAGTGCAAAAAGGGTAGTTATGCAGGCCAAAAATGAAGCTCCAGAACCAAAAAGTACAAATAAAGAGCAACTTGGGGCACCTGGGTGGCTCAGTCATTTAAGCATCTGACTTTGACTCAGGTCATGATCTCATGGTTCATGGGTTCAAGCCCCACATTGGGCTCTGTGCTGACAGCTCAGAGCCTGGAGCCTCCTTCAGATTCTGTGTCTCCCTCTCTGGCCCTCCCCAGCTTGTGCTATGTCTCTCAAAAATGAATAAACATTAAAAAAAAACCCCAAATAAACACATTCACTTATTGGCCAGAAAATAAAACCCCTAGATATATACTATCATCCTTCTGCTTCTCCTCTAAGACTCCTGTGCTCCCCTCAGGGCCAGTGGACTATGCCCCAGACCATCTCCCCCATAGCTTCTGACAACCAGCTTTCTCCTTTCTCCTTGGGGAAGAATCTAGCAGATTACAAGGAGAATCCTAAATGCTTTTCTAACTTAAAATGAACCTAAAGAAGTGAGTATATGTGACACTAAAAGTCAGACTTCCTCTCCGCTTAATGTGGAAAACTAATAGCCTTTTATGCTTGGAAACCAAACCAGAGTGATTCCCCACACATCCAACACACACACACACACACACACACACACACACACACACACACACCCCACTTCTCCCTCCCCAAAGTCCAAGATGTTCCAGACAACATAACAAACCACACGGTTGGGAATGATTCATATGTTTCCACTCTTGGTCCAAACATGAGCAAAAGAAGTTTCCACTTAATTTATAATCAGAATTTTCTGCACATTTCCTTAAAAAATTAAAGGGGAACAATTCAAAATCTGGCCTTTCTTTCTCCAAAAATTTCTGATTAGTTACAGACTAAAGTATCTTTTTGGTAAAATACTTTTGTGCTCCATCCCAGCCTGGAGACTTAGGGTGTAGCTGCATGGTGCCAAATATCTAATCAATCATTCAGTGTTTTCATGTTTTCGGATGTTTTCAAAAAGGTGGTGTTCTGGAGATACAGGCTTATTCTATCCAGTCTTTTGTTATCTCAACCATACATATGGATACAGATTTTTCTGTTTGGAGTATTTCTCAAGGCCAATGCCTTATTATAGTTCCAACACCTGCAAATATTTGGCAGAGAATGGTCCATCCTCTCCATATCCCCCACTCTTCCTGCAACCCCACCCCCATCTCTTGCCATTATAAGGCTGTAAGTTTACACAGTATGTCCTTCCTCCCCCCACCCCAACCATGCTGTTAATCATTTATCTGTGACCCACGAAAAGTTCGATTGCCAGAGCATAAAGGTAAGTTTCAAATCGCATTTCATGGGCAAAACTTAGGTCCAAAACAAAGGCAGCAGGCCATAGTAGAAAGGATACTTAAGTCAGGGTCTAGATGCTGAGTTCCAGTTCCAATTCTGTGACTTCAACCAAATCACTTAAAAGTCTTAGTGTACACCACATTAAATTGGAAGGCTTCAACTAGACCAAGAGCAAGGCCTAGCATCTTAGGATTCTAAGAACTGAAGTAAATGAGATTATTCCTCTCTGCAGTTGATAGGAATGAGAATATCATTCTCACTGAGTGAAATCAACAAACACTGAGCTTTGTACAAATTTGTAAATATTAGATAGAAATCAAAATTTAAAACGGCAGAAACCAAAGTGACTACTCTCCATATTACCTGCAACAAATTACAGAAGGGAAAAGATATCCTGTTCTGAGTATTGCTACTTTCACCAACTTCATAAAATTTGTACCTATTTTTTAAGTTTATTTATTTTGACAGAGAAAGAGAGGGTGGGGCAGAGAGAGTATCTCAAGCAGGCTCTGCACTGACAGCAGGGCTCAAACTCATGAACCGTGAGATCATGACCTGAGCTGAAACCAACAGTTGGACTCAACCAACTGAGCCACCCAGGTACCCATGCTTCATCATTTTCTTAGATAAGATACCCTGACTTTTTCAGAGCATGGCAAGAGGAATATCTCTGCTTCCTTCTTGTCCTCCTTCCATCCTATCTGGGTCTTCCTTCCAAACTGGCTTATATATGCAGTCCCAATTTGTGGGTAGTAAATTATCAGTCATTTAAGTGTTTTACTTTTCTGGAAATTCTGCTAAATAACTCCTCCTTAAGAGAAGTCGAACCACACAGCAGGCAGGCAATGGGAATAAGACAATTGGCCATGGAGTAGGGGGCACCTGGGTGCCTCAGTTGGTGACGTGTCAGCTTCAGCTCAGGTCATGACATTGTGGTTCGTGAGTTTGAGCCCCGAGTGGGCCTCTGTGCTGACAGCTCAGAGCCTGGAGCCTGCTTTGGATTCTGTATCTCCCTCTCTCTCTGCCCCTCTCCCACTTGCTCTCTCTCTCTCTCTCTCTCTCAAAAATAAATAAATATTAATTTAAAAAAAAAAAGACAAATGACCAGAGCTGATACTGTTAACATCAATGTGAGGTAGTAAGGTTTTACAAAATAGGCACTGAGACTTGCACGTAAATATCATACGGCACAACCACTTCGGAATACTCTGTCCACTGAACGCAAATGAAAGACTAGGAACTTACAAGGCAGGGAATGCAACCAACTGCTTCAGTCTGCAACCCACAAAAATGAACACTGGCACAAAATCTGATACTGGATTAAATATTTATTGCCTTCGGCTTAAATTTTTAGGTCTGATATTTGGTTATCCCTCCTTTGTGGTAAACGGAGGTTCCTTTTTTGTCTGCATGTTTTTTATTTTTAAGGCAGGCTTAGAATTGGCCCCATGTTAAAGGTTTGGTGGCAATTTGTAGCAAGCGGCCGATGCCAAACGTTTGTTGCTTTAGTGTACTGAGCGTGCAAACACATACACTGCTGTCATCCACAGAAATCTCTCACCTCCATATAGATACACTCAGACACCTCCACCCACCTACAGAGACACACCCAACCTGCCTGTTGTTATACCCATACACATGCATATCAGCACGCATGCTAATTACAGCACACCCACACAGGTGCTCACATACTTAAAAGAAGAGGTGGAAGGATCATGACAAAGATATGTAGTGTGCAATATGTCACTGACAGAGGAGAGAGGGCATTGTTTCCCTGGACGGACTACTGGTGTGGCGGGCCAGGGGCTAACCCATCCACAACTGGCCGGAGGTGAATGAATGCAAGGAGGTTGACACAACGGATGGAACAGGTTCCAGTGAGAGCTTGCAAGTGAGCAAAGGCTATTCCTCATGAGAACAGTTGGAGGGAACTGACTTGTCATCTAGGAAAAATGGACCTAGCTTTATTAGGGAGCTTGCTAACTGTACAACTGTGTGTAAAGAGACCCAGTCGGAGAAGGGATATGTCCCAGATCCCTTACCTTGAGTTTCTCAAATCGGTCATTCAGGGACGCGACCTGATGGTCTCGGTGACGTCCCACCAGTTTGCATAAGGCACAGATCAATTGGTCATCAGATACACAATACATGTTCACTTTCTCATTCTCATGGTCCAGGCAGGTGATCCCTCGAAGATGTGTGTCTGGTACTGGCTCCACCAGGCGGTGGCTGGTGAAAGGTTTCTTGTTGGGGTGTGTGGCCCGCAGGCAACGGTCACAGTAGGAGACCTCACAGGTGATGCATGTTTTCACTGCATCCCTTGGCGGGTCCTGCTCACAGAATTGGCAAGCAATTCGCTCACTAGACATGGCAGTGCTGGGCCTGTAAGTCCTCTCTCGGCGGCTCTCACTTGGGGAATTGGGCCCACTGACGGAAGCCTTCTGGAAGCGATCAATAATGTTCTGCAGAGTCACATTCCTCTTGAGGCCATCCAGGCCCCGGTGGTTCAGCGAGATAACATACCTGCACGTCGGACACTGGAAAGCGGTAATGGGTTCAATGGATTCACCAGAGCTGCAGCTCGAGACCAAGATTCGATGAGCACAGCTGAAGCAGAGGCTATGGGCACAAGGGAGCAGAAGGGGGTCTTCAAACAACTCTAGGCAGATTGGACAGGTCAATTCAGACTCCAGTGTTTCCATCTTTAGTGAAAATAATCCTGCTGGGGCATTAAGAACCGCAGAGGCTGGGCTTTCACCTGCAAGGAATACAAAGCAAGAGTCAAAGCAGCCTATTTATACACTAACCAATGGAGGCTTTACGTCTTAGATTCCCCAGCGATGCTGGAGCAATAGCAAAGCAATCGATCTGGGCGTTAATCAAAAAGCCTTTCTCCCCTTCACACCCTGTGGTTGACAAATGCTTGAGTTTATTTTCCTGCACTAATAAAGAGAACCGAGTGATCACCTCTGAGTCCTGGTTTACTGGTCGACATTACTAGTCCAACTCACAATACTGGCCCATGCCAGTCACATATTATCCACTGCCGTCTCTTGTCCTGGACTATGATGAGCCTAAGGCTGTGCAAAATTCTCAATCTTCACTCTCCAATATTGGTCTGTATTTTACTTCAAGGTAAAATATACGGGCCGCATGTATTTCACGTCCAGTGGAAGGCAAATCAGGCCATATTTCAAGCTAAGTCTCTGGCTCTTGAAATTACTCCATTCTGAGAGCCTGTGTAAAAACCAAGAGTGAGCTGCAGAATAATGTACTTCTCGGTGCAGAATAATACGTTCTTCTGAGTGTGAGCTTTAATTACTTCCTGTTACCACTCATGGAAATTCCTGTCCTATCCCATTTCTAAACTGAGCTACTAGAGACAAATGATGCTAGTATCCACTTCCTTCCCTTCCCTCCAGAAAACCTTTCATCTCATCAAGCTCAATGAGAAATCATTTCAACTATTCAACTTACTCAGCAATAGTTGCTGATCAATAATGACAACATATGACCTTGTGGTTTCAGCTGGATTTTACTATCAGACACCCACTGAATTAGCACAAGCCTACTATGGAGCTCACCACCCCACGTGTCTTAAAATGTAACAAGATGCAAATCAACATCCAGATATAAATTAGCAAAGTGAGGAGCCAGAAATTTTCAGATCTAGTAGCCTTCATTTTGGTACGTGCATCAGAGAGTAAAAGAAGTCACCCAATTTACACAAAACGAATCTGTTAGTCAGCCTATTTCTTCTCCCACAGATATTTCTGAGCTGAACATACAGATATTGCCACGGGTCTTCCGTTAATTAAAACCAACACACAAGAATGTTCTAAGCTAGCCTTAAGTAAGGACAAATCTATCTTATTGACAGGAAATGTTAATCCTATTTATAGAAAAGAGAAAAACATCTTTTGCTTTTGAATAACTTTTCTTCATCATCTCACTAGCCCTGGAGACCCTTGCCAGGGCTGGAAAATTTTGATTCTGCCACTGATATTTGTTCAGATTCTGTCAGTCAGTGACCTCTGCCTAGCCTTCTTCTCATGGGATACTTAAATGCTGAGTACAATTAAACCATGTGAAATAAGTACAGTAAATGCATCCCTGAAAGCTGTTTCTAAATCAAACCTTTTAAGTGCATGAACCTAACTAGCTATTTAAAGAAAATCCATAGGAAACTGGGCTATAGAAGTAGAGTCTTTTTGTAAAACAGCCACTCTCAGTTGGTCTGTTAAGTTCAGATGTTTGGATAACCACTTTCTTAAAAACACAAGATGTGCGGTATTCTTATTTCATAATTTACAAGTGCCTCAAAATTGTTGACTGGCAATATATAGCTTATATTATCTATCACCTTTCACCTATATAGATGAAAAATTAAACCAAGTACAATGTGCATATATCACAGAACCTTAAAATTTGAAGAGACTTTAGTTAGAGATGATGGATTCCAACTTTTGTTCCAGGTGAGAACACTGCCTTTGATAGCTCCACTGCTCAAATTCAACATGATATTGCTTGTTATTCTCCCCCCACCGCCGGAAAAAACCCCAAAATACCTTCTCTTCTTCCAATTTTCCCTATCTGATGAATATCACTATCCAAGCCTAGAAACCTAGGAGTCTTCTCATTTACATGGTTATCATGTAAATGATAATGACATGGTTATCACCACAACCACTGGTGGCTTCTAGAACATTCTGTTTTACTTCATTTACATATCTGTCTCCAGCTAACTCTCCCTGCTCCTTGAGGGCATCAACTATTTCAAATTTTATTCATAGCATGGTGCCTCATACATACTAGGTATTCATTAATTGTTAAATGAAGGATCCCTTAAAGTACAAGTTGGAAGAAGGGACCAAGCTTTTATTGAGCACTTTCTGTATGCTGAGTACTGTTAAGCACTTTACACACATCATTCCATTAAATTCTATCAAGAAGCCTGTGAGGAGGGGCATCTGGGCGGCTCAGCTGGTTAAACGTCTGACTCTTGATTTTGGCTCAGGTCATGATCTCATGGTTTGAGATGGAGCCCCACGTCAGACTCCCCACTGTGTGCGGTGCCTGCTTGGGGTTCTCTTTCTCTCCTTCCCCTCCCTCCCTCTGCTTGCTCGCTCTCCCTCTCTCTCTCAAAATAATAAAGCTGAGAAAAAAAGCGAATCCTTGAGGGAGGTACTATCATGCCTCTATTATAGTTAGGAAACTGGAGCTCAGCGTTGTTAAGTCAATCAACCAGGAATTATACATAACCAGAGCACTGGGTCAGTCTAATGCCAGCACCTGCTCTTTCCCCTACACCTTTATTTCAATCATCCCAGCTCCTTTACTGAAGTTTATCTTGACTATTTACAAGAGGGTTTCTAAACAGCATGTTTCCTCTTCTATTTTTGTCTCTCTGTGTCCCCCTCAGTTTCTATGAACCTGCCTCTCATTCCAAGTTCCCTCCAGAATCATATCTTTTTCTTCTAGGCCCAACTCTACTTCACACTGCATTTCTCTTACTATCACTTCCAGAATGCATGTCTGCATTCTTCAACATCTGTGCTGAAAGCTACATGGGAGAATGGAGTAAGGCCTCCCTCCAACTTTAGCTCAGGTCATGATCTCACAGTTCATGAGTTCGAGGCTTGAGTTGAGTTCTGTGCTGACAGCTCAGAGCCTGGAGCTTGCTTCGGATTCTGTGTCTCCCTCTCTCTCTGTCCCTCCTCCACTCAAGCTGTGTGTGTGTCTCTCTCAAAAATAAATAAACATTAAAATATTTTTTTAGGGGCACCTGAGTGGCTCAGTTGGTTGAGCATCCGACTTCGGCTCAGGTCATGATCTCACGGTTCGTGGGTTCGAGCCCTGTGTCAGGCTCTGTGCTGAATGCTTGTGCAGAGCCTGGAGCCTGTTTCGGATTCTGTCTCTCTCTCTCTCTCTCTCTCTCCCTCTGCCCTTCCCCTGCTCACGCTCTGTCTTACTCTGTCTCTCAAAAATAAATAAATGTAAAAAATAAAATAAAATAAAATATTTTTTTAAATGACAGTTGATCAGAAGCATTGCTGGAAAATGTCTATGCATTCAAACCTATACAAAAACAATTCGAGTACTTGTGGTACTCTTCTAAGTACCCTCCCATACAAGCGGAAAAGCTCTTCGAACTTCCCTGAAACCATAAATATTGTTCCTGAGTAAGTGTGACACTTGAACCTGACTATGAATTTAAGCTTGGGAAAGTATGCTATGGGTCAGCATTGCCTTGAATAAGATCAAAATAGAATTTTTTAAATGTTTTATTTATTTCTGAGAGAGTCAGCATGAGCAGAGGAGGGGCAGAGAGAGAGGGAGACACAGAATCCGAAGCAGGCTCCAGGCTCTGAGCCAGCTGTCAGCACAGAGCCCAGCACAGGGCTCGAACCCACGAACCATGAGATCATGACCTGAGCCAAAGTCAGACGCTCAACCGACTGAGCCACCTAGGCGCCTCAAAATAGAATTTTTAACCAGGGATTTCTGAACCTCCTAGAACTGTTTGAAGGATGTTGTGTGTTTGTCATATAGGCATTCTCACAGGGAGAGGCTTGTCCACAGCATTCAAAATGTTCTCAAGAGATTCCTTGACAGGGGCACCTGGGTGGTTCAGTTGGTTGTGTGACTGACTCTCGATTTCAGCTCTGGTCATGATCTCACTGTTCGTGGGTTCGAGTCCTGCTTCGGGCTCTATGCTGACAGTGAGGAGCCTACTTGGGATTCTCTCTCTCCCTCCCTCTCCCTCTTCCTGCTCCCCTCCTCATGCTCACTCTCAAATAAAAAGTAAAAAAAAAAAAATGTTTAATGCAAGAAAAAAAAGAGTGCTTAACAGATAAATGTCAAATACTAGTGCTCTAAAATAACCCACCTTAATGAATTTCAGCTCTACAAAGAATAGAAGATGGTTACGATTTGTTGCTTATGGTAAGTAATTTTTCTATATTGTTTGTATTGTTTTATCATCATATCGCAATTGCTTTTGCTTAGACTAGGGAACTGAGTATTTTTTTTTCAACTTCTTCAAACAACTGTTCATCTCCTCTCTCATTTATAAGGCCACCTTGTTCTGGTCACTCCTAATATTTCAGCATCGTTTCAGCTATGTCCTGTTTTCACTACCTTCCTGATTATCTAAACACCTTTCACCTTAAAATTTATCTGGCATTACTATGTGTCAGACACTAAATAATACCCCTTACATGTATCATCTCCTTTAATTTTCACACCAATCCTCTAAAAGGTACGTAGTATTATTATCAAAAAAAAGTATTGTGTCCCAGACCATGCTTATTTGCAAGTAGCAGAACTACGATTAAAACCCAGAAGCCAGAAATAAACTGATATCCTCCTATATTTATGGGCAAGCGACTTTTGACAAGGATTCCAAGTCCACTCAGTGGGGAAAGAATAATGTTTTCAACAAATGGTATTGGGACAATTCCATATCCACATGGTAGAGGATAAAGTTAGAGCCCTACCTCACACCATATAAAACATGAATTCAAAATAAATCAACAACCTAAATGAAAGTGTAGAAGCTATAAAACTCTTGGAAGGAAACGTAGGTGTAAATATTTGTGAACTTAAATTAAGCAAGGGTTTCTTACATGATACCAAATGTACAAGCAACCAAAGAAAGATAGATAAACTGGACTTCAAAATTTAAAACTTCTGTGTTTCAAACCATCAAGAAAGTGAAAGGAC